GCCTATGTTGTCCAAAGAGGCTTCCATGGTCATGTGACCAGCATGACTATGTTGGAAGAAAAATCCGGTCCAGTTCCAAACGGGGAGAAAGGCGTTGGAAATAAAATGGAGGCTAATTGGAAAGAAGGACTCTATTTATTGATGAAAAACAACAACAGCATGTAGTTTTGGGACAGCTAACAAAATGGGGTTGGGATAGGTGGGCTTTTATACATTCTTTGGGGTTTTGTGTTTGAAATATTGTGCAATGTAGTGAGCTTCCTGTCTTTTGCTATTCTGATGGTGGTGGGTTAATCCTATTATATCCTAAAAATCCTATCCTGTCCTTCTTAATCCCATCAACTGAAGCTGAAGGTGTTTGTGTTTCTGTGTGTGTGTGTGAATAGAATGGCCCGGTCTTTCTTAATAGGCACAAAATATCCATCTCTGAAGACTTTAGGCCAGGGGTCCTCAACCACCGGGCCGTGGACCGGTCCCGGTCCATGGAGCACTCTGTACCGGGCCGCAAAGAAAAATTTTTTTAAAAAAATGGCGGCTTTCTTCGCCTTCGGTGAATGCTGCTGGGATCGGGGATCAAGGACACAAATGAAAGAAGGGGAGGGAGGAAGCAACCGAAGCCTGTCCTGCTCTCTGGCTCAGCAGCTTCAGTTTCCTCCCGCCTCGTTCCTCTCTCAGTCGCTCTCTCGCTGCTCCACCAGCCCAGGAAGAAACTGCTTCAAAGCAGTTTCTGCCTGCCTGCCTGTCTGGTTGTTTGGGAGCAGCTTCGGCTGAGAATAATAACTATTCACCTCTTTTTATCAGCCGAAGCTGCTCCGAAACGAAGGCAGGCAGGCAGGCAGGCAGGCAGAATGGAGCACTGGGTTGAACCGCGCGCGGGCGGGTGGGGTGGGGGTAAACGGGCACTTCGGAGGAGCTGCGGCGACAGGAAAAGCCACCACCACCCCGGCTTCTTTGAAGCAGTTTCTTCCTGGGCTGGTGGAGCAGTGAGAGAGCGACTGAGAGAGGAACGAGGCAGACACCTGAGGGAGGGAGGGAGACACCTGAGGGATGGGGCTGAGGGAGGCAGGGCCGAGGCGCTCCCTGAACTTGGTGGTTTGCTGGCAGACGTTTTATTACCCGACTAGGTAACAACATCAGATGTTACCTAGTCAGGTAATGAAATGTCTGCAAGCAAACCACCAAACTCGGATTCTTCCCCCCCCCCGGTCCTTGAAAAAGTGTTTGTGCTTGAAACTGGTCCCTGGTACAAAAAAGGTTGGGGACCACTGCTTTGGGCATCTGCTGGAGGCTGTTCAGGCTGCTTTCTGCCTTTGTTAAGATTATTCTCCATTTCTCCTCTGGGAAAATATAATATTCTTTTAATATGCCCCAAAATATTTCATTCTCTGGAGGGGGACTTCCTACAACTATATGCTGAGGCACATGGGATGCTGCTACCTTCCTACTAAAGTATCTATTTATTTGCATTTACATTCTTTCAAACTGCTAGGTTGGCAAGAGGCGGGGCAAGAATGGGAGGTCATTAAATTAATCTAGAAACACATTAGATGAGTTATTGGTAGTATTTTAGTTGGATTGATATTATTGAGGCAACTTAGGTTTGAGTGTTTAAATATTACTAGGTTGTTTTATTATTTATGTATAGTTTATCATGTATGTCAGAAAACAATATAGGATAATTGGTTCCAACAAGTTTGGTGCTGGAAATTATTGGACTATCCATCTCTTTAGAGTCAGATGTTAATGCAGTGATCTAATTATAGAGTTTTCCATTTGAGGTATTTTCCATTTCATTTAAGGCATTTGAATAAGGTCTTGCTTTTGGTATTAAGTCCATGGATGAATGCTGGTGGTGGTCACTTAACACTTCCAAATGGGAAATCCTTGAATTGCATTACTAGAAATTTTAATGACAAGGCATACCAAGCTAATTACCCTGGCTAATTAGAATGGGTCCTTGATATTGATGAGTTAAGTAGAAGGCATGCTTCATAGTTATCCATTTTCTCTACTTTGATTCTCACAAATGAGTAACAACAGTTTCAAAATAAGGCACCATTGGTGGCAGCATAGACTGAACTTTCAAAAATTTTAAGGACATGGAAGCAGCAGTGATGGTGGAGTGGGGAAGAGATCCACTCTGGTTGTGGGTAATGATTCAGTCTGTACACTCAAGAACCAACATTGTGTAGGATTACATGCCTAGAAGTCTGAAATTCATCAGCTTATCTATAAACCTTTGAATTTGATGTGGCTGATGGTTTCTTTCTAGGTGAATTCAATATCCTTAGGAATAAATATAAAAGGATCTGGAATTATGGGTGTGGGAGAACAGGGCTGGGGTGCACATCCTAATAAAAAACTGCAACAATGAAGAAAAAATCACTTAGAACTCATTTTTCAGGACTGGATTGTTTAATATATTTTAATTAGTCCTGTGGATAAATAAGACAAAACAAACTTTCTTCTGTAACCAGCCATCATCATCATCATCATTATTCCTCCCCCTCCCCCTCCCCTTCCCCTCCCCCCCTCCTCCTCCTTCTTCTTCCTAGGTCAAACTTTAAATGCCAGAATGAAGCAACCCTCCAGGCTTATCATTGGCCCAAAATAAGTGGTGGTATAGTGGTTAGAATGCAATATTGCAGGCTAACTCTGAGTTCAATTCTGGCTCAAGGTTGACTCAGCCTGTCATCCTTCCAACATCAGTAAAATGGTAAGCCAGATTGTTGTGGGCAATATGCTGATTCTGTAAAATTTCTTAGAATGCGCTGTATAGCACTATAAAGTAGTATATAAGTCTAAGTGCTATTGCTGTTGCTATTATCAGTACTTGTTTCTGGTAGTAGCCAAATACCAGCAGATGAGCCAGGCTGTAAGTCTTTCAACATTCACACAGTGTGTTGTTATCTACTAAGAGCCTCCACTTGAGCATATTATTTCATTATGGAAGAGGACAATGTGTAGGCATTCACTCACCAGTGGGAATCAATCGGAATCATGGGTGGATGTGATAGAACATGTGGATGATTTTAGGAAACAAGGGAAAGAGATGCTGCCTAGGAAACTATCAGATGGGAGAGAAACAGCCCCCACCTAAGAGCTTAATGGGCAGAGAAAGAAACTTAAGAAGGAGTTGCCCTAATAGGTCACATGTTTAAAAGTGATGGTGGGAAGTTTATTTTTTCAGACCTGGAAGATTCTGTCAATGTAGCCTTAGAATAAAGTAGATTTAGGTCATCTAGTCATGTTTTCTGTCTGCTTTACTGGGGAGGGCAACAATGGATTTTGAAAAATGCTTCCCTTCTTTTCAACGCTCCATATGCTGCCTCTTCCTGATCTTATAAAAGTGGCAGGAAACTTTCCAATGTGATTACATTCCAATTCCCAAACAAGTTAGCCAACAGGGATAATAATTACAGGTGGATATTTATGGCTCAAGTTTTAGCCATGTCATGGAGGAATTCACTGGAGAAAGCAATTATATTTGGAAGAGTTAGCGGTAAAAGGAAACCAGGCAACCAGAGAACATGGTAGCTGGACACCATCAAAGCTGACAACAACTCAAAGAAGTAGTGCAAGATCAGATATGATGGAGAGTCTGGGTCCATAGAATCGCCAAGCATCAAACACAACTGAATGGATATCATCACTATCATCATTTATGGCTCCACATCGTTTGGAAGATATAGGGGTCTCCTTACAGTTTCTGCAAGTTTATTCACAAATAATAACATTGAACTTATTTACCTTTTAATTTTTTTTCTTAAAGGCTATTTCCTTTTTTAAAAAGTGTTTTTAATAAAACAGCAGAATGCCAGGATTTCTTCTGAGCAATATGGCTTGGTTCAACTCTAGAAAGTGGTTTTTGTTTTCGAATGAAATGTCATCACTTGATCATAACCAGCAGATAGTCTTTGAAGGAAAGATTTCAGAGATAGATTCACCCTGCCAGGAAAGCACTAAACTTCACAAGAGCAAGATATGTTGTCAGGCTGACATCAGTTAAAGCTGGCTTGCATAGATTTGTATAAAGGGTAGTATTATATTTCATTTTGAGCACTCATCTTTATGTGTTCAAATGATGAACTGCACAAGAGGTGGTATTCAGCAGGTTCTGACCAGTTCTGGAGAACCGGTAGTGGAAATTTTGAGTAGTTCGGAGAACCAGCAAATACCACCTCTGACTGGAGATTTTACAGTATCCTTTCCCTGCCATGCCCACCAAGCCACGCCCACAGAACTGGTAGTAAAAAAAAATTGAATCCCACCACTGAACTGCACAGATGGAAAACAGACCCAACCTCTAATGTAAATAGGTTTATTTATATGTAGACAGCATGATATGTACACATGGGAACCACTATGCTCCTGAAATACTAAGCCATAATTTCATATATCAGTCATGAGCAGTTTGACTATACAGCTATTCCAGTATAGCAGGTGTGATGCGGACCAAGTGTGTTACCAACAGATATCTTCTTGGTGTCCTTCAGTCTTGAAAATGTACAGTATGAGAAACAAAATGCAATTCTAACTTCCCAATTTCTTTGCCTTGTAGAAATAGGAACTTATCCCATGGTGCCATGCAGTCCTGATGCTCCTGTCTCCAAAGTCCTGTGCCATGAAGTCAAATTCCTTCCTTCTTGCAGGCACCAAATTTAACCACAAAGAGGGGAGGGAACCCTCAAATGACATTTTTGACACTTTCACTGATTGAACTCAGTGCTTTTCTTCAGTCCCGGAGAGACCAAGTTTGGGGAACAATGAGAACAATAAGAACCACATTAATCGTAAAAGTATAAATAACAGACACAAAGTCTGTGGATGTTCTCCTCTCTTTCCCCAGGTCCAAAGGCTGTCAGAGCAGCTGAATCGCAGTGCTTCCTCATGCAGGAGCTAATAGCAGCTTCTGTGTATTTTGCAAAACAAACAAAAATGAGATATAAACTTTAAAAAAAAACAACCCACATGTATCAACAGGCCCTGGGCAAATGTCTCTACTGACTAGCTTGGTCTGTAGCTAGGAAGAAACTGTGCTGCTTCTGAGCTCGTTCCATTAAATTCTTTTTCTTCTTCTTCTTCTTATCCTTTTTCTTTGGTGTCCTCTTTCCTAAAAAAAAAAAAGAAAAAAAAAGAAAAAGCAAATTATGTATTTTGTGTCAATGTATATTGCCTGCATTAGCAATGCCATCATACAAAGGATGTAAATCACTGCAATTACACACTAACAGATATGTCCTCCCCAATTAATATAGAGGGCAAGATACAGCTAAAAGATTGGCAATATTTTTATTTTTAGTCACTGGCTAATCACAGACAAATTTTTAAGGTTTTCCAACTGAACTGGCAAGCTATCTATATCTAATTTATTCAGAAAGACTTTCACAGTGTTTATTGTTAGATTACCTGTGCCTATAGCCACTTAAAAAGCAACTAACACACAATCTTTCAGGATGCAGCAGAGATTTACTGGTCCAGAGAAGAGTTATTGCATTCTTATAGTTGCTATTTAGAAGGTACTCAACAGCTGAACCCCACCCAACCCAAAAAATGCATTCCAAAATTTGGCCTCTGTACCTGGAGAATATTTTCAAGTATTGTATGTCAACCAATTGCTGGATTCCATTCTCTAAGAATTTTCTACTTAACTTAAAATTCTTTTTGTTGTTGTTGTTTCCATTGTTTTTCTTCAATATTATGTCTGTGCATGCCCACCATGTTGGCCACTGATTTTACTTACCTTCCTTTCAGGAAAGTATTGCATCATATTGTAAGGTTTAGTGATCTCCATTCACCTGCCTCAACGATTTGGGAATTCAGGTTTCATAGTTTCAATTATGACTAGAACCCTGGCAACTAAATGTGTTGAATGTTGGCTGTATTAACATACCAATAGTTTTACTTGGTGTCCATATACTGTATATTTACTCTGTATTGTTATAGTTGTTTAATTGCTTAATGTTGTTTAATGTTTAGTTGTTTAATTGTTTAATGTTTTTATGGTGTATGCCATATAGAGTCACTGGTTGAAATGGGCAGCTAAAGAAATTAAATATATAAAGAAGCTATCAAAGCCCTTGAGTGATAGACAGAGACAGTGAGAGTCCAGATAGCAAAGAGTTGGAGTGTGCAGAATTTTACACCATTACATTGGGATATTCCACATGATTCAACACAGCTTAAATCTATAAACTGCCTAATTTAAAGCAAGACCAAATAAATATTTGGTCTCGCTTTAGGATAGGCAATTTATAGATTTATATTTAAATACATAGTGTGTATATTGCCATTGCCATTGTTTTTTTAAGAAAAAAATTATTAATACCAACTTTTAAAATGAAGTGTTCTAACAAAACAAAACAAAAATCAACTGTCTTCTTTTACTACTTTACAGCAAATATAAAGGTTTCCCCTGTGCAGTCGAATCTGACTCTAGGGGGCATTGCTCATCTCCGTTTCTTAACCAAGGGAGCAGCATTGTCTGAAGAAACTTCCATGGTTAAGTGGTGAGCATGATTATACACCAACATGCATGTTATGCTGTACCTTCCCACTGAAGGAATATTTATCTATTCTCATTTGCATGCTTTCTAACTGTTAGGTGGGTAGCAGCTGGAGCAAGTAACCGGAGCTTACTCCATCTCATGGTGTTCAGATCTCAAACCCAGTCTCGAACTCAGCTTTCTACCTGACAAGCTCAGCGTCTTTAACTGCTGAGCCATTGCATCTTTCTATAGTAAATATATCCTGCTACAATATAACATATATATCCTATCAATCTAGTTTGGTATGATTTTATTTGCTTTTCATATTGTGTTTTTCTTCTTGGTTTCAGAGGGAAGATAAGAATGTGCAGAAATAAAGGCAGCAAGAGAGAAAGGCCTAGAAAACCAACTGATTTAATGTTGCTTGGATCATAAATTCCAGAATTTTATGCACAGGAAAAAGAAAATCTCTATAAAATAGCCAATGCAATGATAAATCCTCACTGGGGAACTCTCTTTTTATATTATAGCCTCTTAAACTAATAAAGCAGGAAATTCAAACTGAGGTGAATTTGCAGTTAGAACCATTATAATATCATTTTCACCTCCTCTTTGTGAAAATTAAATCAAACTGCCCAGCAATGTTTTTGAGAATATATAATATCTCTACTCTAAGAGCATTGAAATGTAATAGAATTACTGATCATTCTTAGCAACAAACTGAAACAAATCATTTAAATCCAAACTGGTTATATAAATGCACATCAGAAGCAGTGCTTCATAGGAGAAGCTGTTTGTCACTATCCTACAACATACTCAGTTCAATTACTCACTAGCCCAGTCAATCCTCCTTATTAGTAGTTCTGGCAACCAAAACCTCTGTAGGTGAATCACATTTTGGGGGGAATGCATAGTGTAATCCCCACCCATTCTCTCCATTCTTGATCCAACAGAAAGTTTACTGGTAAGGCTTTGCTACGTCTCTATTTATTTCCCCATTGGCCAGGAAAGCAACTAGAATAGTTTATTGTTTTAGGCAGTCTGTGTTTGGGAGATGAGCTCTTTTAGATCCTTTCCTTTCCCTTCCCTTCCCCTTTTCCCCTTCCCCTCCCTCCTTCCTTTGATCTATAATAGCACTGTAGTCTAGCAACTAATTTCAGAGGGCAGAATATACTTCTTACCCACAGGGGGCACTATATATTCACATTTATTTCCTTTTAGAAAATCAAGCCGATTATCTGCCAATGTATGCAAGGAATCAATTTAATAGCATTTATCCAATTTTACATAGAAATTGTTTGGATTTCTGCATCATTTGGACAGTTGCTGTGCAAATTATTTTCCTGCAATATTAAAAACAGCTCAGCCAAATTTAAGGACTGGTTTTCAGAACATTTTGACTTAGCAAAAGAAAGAACACTTTTAAATCTCCTGTAGAAATCAAGATGATTTGAATATGCCTCACAGTACTGTTATTAGACCATGTATGTTTTCACATCCAGTGGAGTCTACTCTTTTTTAAGTTCTTGTGTCTTTCCCATTTTCCTTCTCCCTTCAACAAAACTCAAGACATCTACATAGATGGCAAAAACACAGAACAATATTTATCCAATTTTCAATCATGCTCCCCTATCAGTTATCAATCAGATATTTCTTTCCTTTTTATTCTATCACTCCTAAATATGTCCAAGATTAAAACAAAATCCTCTGAAAGCCAAAGGGATGCCTACTAAAATGTGCTACTTATACTTGATGCTAACCTACAACTATCATTAATCTTTTTTTTTTTTTCAGAAACCTTGTTGATTCTTTGAGGCCTAGAAAAATTCATCAGCGCTAGTAGGAAGAGCAAATCCCATTCCCTACTAGCACTATTGATGTTACCCAATTTGGTAATGAAATATCTCCATAAAAACAACCGAGCTCAAAGAGCATCAAGGACCCTATAGTTCAACCCTGGGCTATAAATATTCTCTTCTACCATGTTGATTCTTTTCCAGGATTATTTGCTCTTCTCAAGGTCTTTATAATATTTTTTTCCGTCCGTTTTTTCCAGAATAGCTGCTAAGTTAACTAGCCATTCATTTCCTTGATATTCCAAAATCTTTGGCTGATCAACCATTTTTAGCAATAAGTTACATAGTGTACATCAGAGGCGGTATTCAGCAGGCTTTGACCAGTTCTGAAAAACTGTTAGTAGAAATTTTGAGTAGTTCAGAGAAACGGTAGTGGAAATTTTGAATAGTTAAGAATACCCCCTCTGACTGGCCCCGCCCCCATCTATTCTCTGCCTCCCGAGTCCCAGCTGATCAGCTAGGTCTTCTTTTGTTGCCCTGCACAGGAGGTGGAAAGCAGGCTAGTGGGATGGGGTGAGAATGGGGATTTTACAGTATCTCACTTCCCCTGGAGTGGGGAGGGAATGGAGATGTTACAGTATCCTTTCCCTGCCATGCCCACCAAGCCACACCAACCAAGCCACACCCACAGAACCTGTAGCAAAATGTTTTGAATCTCACCGCTGGTATACATTTGTTAATAGATTTAACATTTGAGAATTGCTGGATGCAGGCATTCTGGAAGACAAGACTCTTAGAACAGGGTTCTTTCTATCTTTCTTCTGTTCCCTTCTGTCTGAGCCATCATTGTTCTGCCATTTGGGTCTCATGTACATTGAGAGGAGAAAGAAGAAGTATTTGCAGGATTACAGAAGAGGAATTTCTTCTGCAAATATTGAGTTTTCTCAGGATGTGAAGCAATTAGATATAATGATGTTGGAAATAACTCACTTCTGAATCAAGCAATCTTGAGCGGCACAATGAGAAGTAGAGTCATTTCTAATCTCAAGAAATCCAGTATCTAGCCTAAAGATATATATTTACTCCTGTTGGATTAATTCATGATTATGGTTATTATTACAAGCTTAAGGAGGAATAAAGACCATAGGCAAAATTGTCTTCCTTTAATGGTTTGACTCTATCCCAGCTGTAAACCTGATTAGGTGGATTAGATGGATTAGACTGATTAGGTCGATTGCTTTCTTTCTATCAAGAAGTGTACCAATCAAAGAAGTTTCATTGCTCGTTCTACCTGTTCAATATGTAGTATTTCAGAAGTATTGTCATGGGTCTCTTGTTGCTCATCCCTAACTTGATTTAATTAAGAGGTAATTAAGCTGTATTTCCTTGCATCACCAGTTCTCCAGCAGTCTTTCATTTCACACTTTGCGCATGCGCCAAATGTACACTTTGCACAGGCGCAGAGGCTTTCCAACTCGCCTCCTGCAAGCCTGCACTCTCCCTGTCGCTTCAGCAGCTGCTGCGTGGCAATCTGCTCTGTCGTGCAAAGCAGCTGCACTTCAAAAGCAGGACACAGTAGGGGAGCCCAGGTGGGCCCAACAGCAGAGCTTCAGAGAGAACCGGTAAAATACCACCACTGGATACACTCAAATAAACTGTTCAACCACCTTGCCTGTCCATAACTTTGATGAATATTTTGAAATGTTATATATGTCTAGTTCCAATCAAAAACTTCAAATCCACAGACAGAATGTACTGTATGAACAGAGAACAAGGAAATATTTAATTTACTGTAATGAGCGATAAAATATGTGCTTCTAAACAGTTGG